ATATTTATTTATTTTATAAAATAAAAAAATAAATAATTAGGTATAAATTTAAATTTTTAAAAAAATAATAATAATTTTGAAATAAAAAAGTACAATAATTAATAAAAAATTTATATTAAAAAATTAATGAATTTTAATTTACTTTAAGCTGATTAAATCTATTCGTAATTTAATTTAGTCAAATTCATATAATTTCAATTTAAGTCATATTAAATTTTAAATTAACATCTTAGACTTATAATCTTATTCACAATAAACAATAAATTAGACCGAACTTTTAGATTGGGTCCAATACCAAGTCGAAGTACAATTCCATTCTCAAACTAAATACAACAGATTTATTAATTAATTTTTTTAAAACAAATGCAATTAAGGGATTGAGAATAGGGTTTGCTAAAACTTGAATCTTGGATTCTAAATGCCATCACTCTTCTTAAAGGAATGGTTTAGGGTTGAACAGATTGCAATAAATTTAACTACTAACAACATCAGCTTTTCATTACTGCATAAAAAGGGCAGGTAAAAGTGACAGAAAGATGACATTGGGTAAATTTAAGGTTATTTATTCAATTTAATTAATTAATCATTGGATAATTTATCCCTTGCATTTTTAGTTTTAAAAGCGAATCTTCCCTTGCCTCATACTATAGCGAATTTGAGGGTTGGGCGTTCTAGATGCGGGCGAGAATGAGGAAAGAGAGGACGAAAAAAAAAAAGGTTATTTGCAAGTTACTATGATGGCCCTAACTCGAGAACATAATCAACTGAGAAGATAGGGGCAAAAGAAGGAAATCACATTTTTTTATTGCTTATTTCAAGCGCCAAAATTTTCTATCAAAAACTTTTGTAAAATATTCATGAACATTTTCCCATAGGATTTCTATTAACAACTTATTGATTTGAGTAAAAGTATCTTGATTCACACTACTAGAATTAGGGTCTTTTTTCGTCAAGTATTTTGACCGAATAAGTACAAATTTTGACCAAATAAGAAGTAATTCGGTCAAATTACTTAACTAAATTGTTGATCCAAATAATCATTGCTTGAAATAGTAATTCGGACAAATTTTCATCTTGACCGAAAATGTTAGACAATTTTGGTCAAAAAATTTGACCGAAAATATTATTTTCAAATTCAAAAAATAATAATAATATATTTGTGTAATTATAGTATACATATAATTTCTTTTTTTTTTTTGG